CACACACAACACTGATTTGCAGTGTCGTACAGCTCTGTCACACAGGCAGGTGTAAGGAAACTAGGGGAACCACCTAGGAACAACCCCTGGTTCACCCGCCCCAACACATCTCAACCAACACTACCAGTTGTTAACACCAGGCCCATATGGAACGCGCGCGCGCATACACACATATACACACAAAGATAAACTTTTGACAGAAAAGTAAACGATAAAAAAGTTTGCAAAATAATGAAGCTGAACATCAAAACTAAACAGCGATGTAAGAATTGAAATGAAAGAGATTACCTTGAAATGACAGGTGGAAACTTAACATTCATCAGGAACTCACGTCCAAACAGTAATACTTGGAGCAGTGTTAAAAAGGCTCCTGCATACATAGATAGTGAAGATGGACAATTATACACAGAATATGGTGATGAAGTAGATGCTGACATAAGTGGATTTATACCTTTCGAAGAAATATGGCAAATGTTGGTTAAAACACTCCCCGAAAATGTTTCTGGAAAACTGCGTCTGCTAGATTGCCAGTTTTAATATTTTATTTGACTAACGCCAGACAATTTTATTCAGCTCAGAGGGGACCCCGTACACAAGGGGTTAATGATCATTTTAAAGGGCAAACCAGAGGAAGGCAGAGACTGGGATGGATGAATTAGATTAAAAGCTGGGTTTCGAGAAAGATACAAAGTTTGGTAGAAGTGGTAGACAGCTCTAAATTGCTTGCTGAGGATAGTAGGGGATCGGCTGTACTGCTCTGAATCTCACTTACTACACTTCCCTAAGAAAATGACATAAATCAGAAATATTTACTCAACATATAGCTGGACACCCTGACTTTGTCTCGAAAATAATTCCCAGGTTCTGAAACTCGGTCTGGATATTCGTATATTTGTGTATAATAATGAACCTACATTATACACAATGTACACGATAACTATGATAGAAATTACAACCCTGTAGTGACACGGCGGCGTCACATGGGCAGGATGTTTGTGGCGAGAAATAAAACTGTGATGTTTGGTTACTTGACGACAGCACGTACTGTCTAATACGTCGACTTAACTAAGCAAATGACTCGCCGTTCCAAAAAAACAACAACAACAAAATAAAGAAAATTAAATACAATAAAATCGACATAAGTATCACTTTTACCACTCAACAATCACAAAATGTTCACAATCACACTCTTTAACTACCACGACACCACACTTTTACTACCACACTACCACCACGTCACTTATTACCACACTCCCACCACCACCATTACCCTTTTACTACTAGAATCCAAATCACTATCGCCACCCAATTACAATCACGCCTTTATTATCACACCCTTGCTACCACACAACCACCACCGCCACCCTTTTCCCATTACCTCATTTCCATTTTTTTCCAACTACCTTACACTACCACTACCACACCTTAATTAACTACATCACGACCATTACTCTTTTACTGTAACTTTACAACCACAACTGTCTTGCTACCACACCATCATCACCCCTTTACTCCTCCTACTACTACTACATCACCACCATCACCGTTATCTCTATTATTTTAGTACCACACCGCCGCCACTACCCCTCATTCTCTTGTTACCACACTTTCAGATATATCCACCTTTACAATTCTTTCGTTGCTCTGCCACTGCGCGTACCAATAGGCTACATAAGGTCTCTGGCATATTGCAACGCGCCAGTCCAGGTCCTTCGTGACAACAAAGGCATTGGCAAACTTGAAAACTGCAAAAACAAAGCCCTCAGCATTATGTTAAGCTATTCTCTGAACATTAACTATGCAACATGAGAAAAGAACTCGGAATACCCAGTGTCAAAAACAGAATAATTAAAGTTAACGTTCATGATAGCCCTGAAGCTCTTGTGTGGTGGTCCATATAACATTGTGTACATGGAATCGTTTGCGTATATGAGTCATAAAACTGGCAAATCTTAAGTAGATTCAAACTACCGTACGCCATATACAGTATATGATGTTTGGACGAGACGTGAGACACAATAGCAGTCAGTTCCTTCCACCTTGGCGCACTCTTCCTAAACTTCGACATCTCTACACACACAGTTACCATAAACAGCTGACTTTGTACAGACCTTGCCTTTAAGAGTGCCACAATATATAACCTTCCACCCTAAGAACATCACACACTTTTTGTACTGACGGTTCTCTCAACACTGTCTGTAGGAAGGCTGGAAATGCCGCTGCCAGTGTGAATCAGCCAAAGGGTAACAGACGAGGGAAGGAAATGAAAATCAATGTTTGGGCAGCCAATCTACTAACTAAACTACTTGCCACACTTACTGCTTTAAAATTGTAGAAATCACTACCACATACCACACCACAGACAACCTTATAATCACTGACTCCCTTCCTTCACTATTTCTTTCGACATATACAGTAGTTCACAAAGAGCGCGGCAGTTAATGTCATAACTAAACATACATCTAATAACAATACTGTTTAATGTGATCTTGGGTTGTCTAACAGGATAACAGAACTCTGGAAACCGCCATCAAAAGAGAACTAGCAGAGGAATTCAAAGCAATTATAGTGCAAACAGTCACAAGTTGATCCATTGTCCACCATGATGATATGTTAGGCAAAATTTGTGTATGGAGCAAGTAACCCTAAAACTTCATACCTTGGACTGAATACCAATGCCTTTTAGGGCCAATTCCTGCCTACAGTGTCACACCATTAATGATGGCAAGATACCTGATATCTTAATAGTGTATTCACATTTGCATCCAAACAGATATTTTGACCACTATGTAACGAATTTGACAAATTGTGAATTGAAAATACTCTGCACTATTCAGTGTCACAACATCTTGACCATTGAGGTTTAATGAAGCCTATTGTGACCTATAGGGGCCTTGTGTAGTTTAGACGTATGGCGCTCTTGAGCCTCACTCAGGTACTTTTTTATATTTATATAATTACACTTATAACTCACCTCCTTTACATGTAATGAAAAAAATTGAGGGGAGCGTGGGACGTGCGTCACGTGGCAGTCGGACTTCCAAACATATAAGTGCTTCCTTCTGTTGACTGATACTTTTGCTGACACTCCTTTCGAAATTATCGACAGCGTCACAAGGGTGGAGGTGGAGCACCGTAACCCTCGTGCACGGCGCCAGATTCGAATTTATTAGATTTTTTTTGCCGAATTTTCAAAAAACATTTTTTTTTTTATTCTGGGGACTGTTATAATTACCCTAAAACATAAAAAAGAGGCCTTATAAAAACATCAATTAGCCTAGACCTACAATACGATAAATTTATTTTTACCGTTAAACCTCTGAATAAACAACGGTGTACCCGAAGTCATACACAACCCCCCGCAAGGTTGCTAACTACATAAAATAGCGGAAAAGCTAACTAGCCAGTGACAACAAAAAATAAACCTAAAGAAGCTAACTTTTCATATTTTATTTTCAATATCTAAATCCGTTGTCGTGTGATAAACCTTCCGGGGTAAATGCTTAAGTAGGTTAAGATTTTGTAATGTTAGGTTAGGGCAGGTTAGGTCAGGAATCCTTGGGTTTGATTGGTTAATATTTTGTGTTCTTACCCCACAATTTCCATCGACTTCAAAGCACTGCCCACTTTGTGCTTTCATTGCCTTTGGTAGTTAGTATGTTTCATATCATCCTTATATTGTAGTCAGTTTGCCAAAGATATACGAATGGGAAATTCATTCAAAACCTTCCGTTACCGTATTTATTAATATTTTCAGCTCTCACAAATCAATCATACGTCTTAGATGTCGATAATGAACATCAGTAATTGCTGAGCCCGGAAGGTTTATCGCACCGGAAGATTTGTCGCATGACACTGGCACCGACTACCACACCACCACACATTCACTACCACACCACCACCGACATTCATAACTCCAAGTTGTTAAAACCACATCCACCGTGTAATATGAAGATGTGATTGTGAAATGTAAGGGTGAGTGTGTAGTGTTATGGTGAAGTGTAAGGGTGAGTGTAGTGTTATAGTGAAATGTAAGGGTGTGTATAGTGTTATGGCGAAGTGTAAGGGTGAGTGTGTAGTGTTATAGTGAAGTGTAAGGGTGAGTGTGTAGTGTTATAGTGAAGTGTAAGGGCGAGTGTAGTGTTATAGTGAAGTGTAAGGGTGTGTATAGTGTTATGGCGAAGTGTAAGGGTGAGTGTGTTATAGTGAAGTGTAAGGGTGAGTGTGTAGTGTTATAGTGAAGTGTAAGGGTGAGTGTGTAGTGTTATGGTGAAGTGTTGAGTGTGTGAAAGTGTAAGGGTGAGTGTAGTGTTAGTGTGTAGTGACGAGTGTGTAGTGTTATGGTGAAGTGTAAGGGTGAGTGTATAGTGTTATGGTGAAGTGTAAGAGTGCGTGTATAGTGTTATGGTGAGTGTGTAGTGTTATGGTGAAGTGTAAGAGTGCGTGTATAGTGTTATGGTGAGTGTGTAGTGTTATGGTGAAGTGAAAGGGTGTGTTGTGTCATAGTGAAGAGTAAGGGTGTGTGTGCGTAGACGTGGCGTAGGTCACCCTTTAGGGGCCAGTGTGTATGAAACCGGAAATAAGCATCTGATGGTTTTATTGAAAATCCATGATCGAATTGTCTTAATGTTTTCAATTTTTATATACCCATATTGTATGCCTACATAGTCATGTACAGTATACTGTATCATGTATATGAGGAGCTGTATACTGTACCTGTATTTGTATATGAGGAGCTGTATACTGTACCTGTATTATGTATATGAGGAGCTGTATACTGTACCTGTATTATGTATATGAGGAGCTGTATACTGTACCTGTATTATGTATATGAGGAGCTGTATACTGTACCTGTATTATGTATATGAGGAGCTTTATACTGTACCTGTATTGTCTCTATATACTGTAAACGTGTATGATAATTTTACTAAATAAATATCAATATATCATTCCATTACAGAACCTGTTGCTGGGGGTCACAATTCAAAGAAACACGACGATGCAAAATTTCTTCTTTATTTGTAAAATATTATCTAAATACTCTGGTATAAATAGATTTGACTGTAATCTTACCATATGAATGTATGAAAGCTAGACTAGGTATAATATAAATATTATTGTATTTCCACTGGTAAATTAATATGGCAAAAACCAGCCAGCGTTTTATCACACACTTCGCTGGACCGTTTACTGGTTATCTGAAAACATGGTCAATAATAACATTGGAATATTGTTTATTGGTAAGATCTTCCTCAGCTGGAGGTAAACCAAGGCAGATGAGCATAGTGCTGTATTGGCCTTCAACAACTACTAGCATTATTGGTCGTCAACAACTACTAGCATTACTGATCGTCAACAAGTACTAGTATTACTGGTCGTTAAAAACTACTATCATTATTGGCCATAAAAAACTACTATCATTATTGGAGGTCAGCAACTACTAACATTGTAGGCCGTCAACAACTACTAGTATTAATGACTGCTAATAACTAATAGCATTATTGGCTGCCAACAACTACTAGTATTATTGGTCAACAACTTCAATACCAGTGTTATTGGACGTCAACAACCACTAGCATTACTGGCTGCCAAATCTGCAAGTTACTCAAATACCTCTCTACAACTTTTAAATTTTGAGGAGTTAATTCACGTGTGAAGCTCTCTCAGGCTCTCTCTACTAGGGAAAATATCACAAAATTGATTCTAGACCCCCCAAATGAAATACATCAATATATTGTTTGTCTTTGGTGAAGCTTTGCTATCTATAATATAGAGGTATATCAATATTTCACAAAATTATTCTTCACATGAAGGCGAAGTAAGTGCTTAACCTTATTAACACTGTCGTAGTAACAGACTTAAATTACACACCATAAAGTTATATAAGTTGTATGGAACTGCTTTTGCATCAACTCATTGCATAGAACACAAATTTATCAAAGTATTGCCCATGTGTTAATTGCTCTTACACGTAGGGGCAGAAGCGCTAGCGTGTATACACATGAATTATCACAAAGATTTCTAAAGTATTTCATGCTCAGTGTTTTCGGTAATCATTCAGAATGTGTCAACACCTGCAGCCACATTTTACAGTGACCGACATGGGGATATAATTTTTCTAAGAGGCTCGTTCGTTACCTGTGTTAATTGTTGGAACAGGTAAAGCTAAACAAACACTGTCACTAGCTCTTTACCTTACTTTTCTCAAAGAGTCGAGTGGCCTCTCATTAACCTGTACGGTCGGCAGCTAAAACTGCTCAAATAGTGACGGCAGTTTGAAGGCATCATAAAGTTAAATCTAAGGCAAAGTTAGAACGTAAAGGCTATCTTATCTCAGTGTTATATTTCAACATTAATGACATTACGTTTCCAGGAATTGGTATTAGAGGTGTGAATTTCAAGGACAATAACTTGTCTGGTTGAGTGAGAAGTGCAAGTGATTTTGGGTTGTGGTGTAGCTTGCGTGAAGTGCGTGGGTTGTAAGTGTGGGCGCGGGCGTGCATGTTGGGGACTAGCATCCATCAAAGGTCAGCTGAGGGGCGGAGCCTCAATTATTCCACCTTGCCCGCCGCTGGTAACTACGTGGGCGCGCATGGGCGTTGTCATTCAGAGGGACACTAGTTTGGGCGGTACAGAGTCTGGCGAGGAGAGGTCAGAGGAGGAGGATCGCTGCTGTGTCCCACAATTGGAGGATGTGGCCGAGCCTGTAGGAGCTGACACAACAGGCGTGGTGAGTGGCGTGAGACCCGTGTGTAGTGGAGTGAGCCCAGTGCCGCTCGTTACTGGCGTCAGCCCTGTCCCGCCCTCCATCATGGACTCAAAGTTGAGGCCACGAAGGCCAGCCGACGGTGTCTCAATGGGGACCCCCAGGTCAGCGACGCTTGGGGTACGAAGAGCCACTGGTGCCACGTTGAGGCTAGTTGGTCGCCTCGGGCGAGGCACGCTCGAGTCGCACTTTTTCACGGGTACAAAGTCTTCCTCCATAGGTTCGTCCTTGACAACCTTTTTTAAGATGCGGAGATGCACGTTGGAGTTGGCGGTGGTGGTGGCAGGAGCGATGTGCTGGCGACGGCGGCAGACAGCCTTGTGCGTGGCCAGCAGGAACTCCAGTTCATCTCGCTGTTGCTGCAGAAGTTGGATCTCTTGCTGTAATTCCGACTTCTTATCTTCCAGATCGTCCGTCTCATCTTGCAACATGTTAGTCTGGTCAAGACGCCTCTTGCGGCATCGCGCGGCCGCCAATTTGTTCCTCTCACGACGCATTGAGCGACGCTCCTCCTCCTCATATGACAGCTGTACCAAAGATAAAAAATTAAGTTACTGTAACTCGTAAACATGGAAGAAAAAATAATATTTATTCTTATGAAATATTATAAGTAAGGGAAGTGGAAAGAACACTGTACAGTGACGTAATAACACCTTGTAAACATCACGACCCGTCACTGCTCTTTCATAACGTAATGGTGACTCAAATATACACACACCTGAGTGGAGCATCACCAGCAACAGAACCTGACACAAGGCATGAGTGTCCCTGCAGTGCAATTCACTAGAGCAGTGTTTACATTGTCAGTGCTAGCTGAATAATACTGATGACGTCGTACATCCAACACAGGTGACTCACCACTACCACAACCAGGTGACTCACCAAGGCGTGTCTCCACAACCGAGTGACTCACCTTGGTGTCTCCACAACCGAGTGACTCACCATGGCGTGACTCCACAACCGAGTGACTCACCATGGCGTGACTCCACAACCGAGTGACTCACCATGGCGTGTCTCCACAACCGAGTGACTCACCATGGCATGTCTCCACAACCGAGTGACTCACCATGGCGTGACTCCACAACCAGTGACTCACCATGGCATCTCCACAACCGAGTGACTCACCATGGCGTGTCTCCACAACCGAGTGACTCACCAAGGTGACTCCACAACCAGGTGACTCACCATGGTGTCTCCACAACCGAGTGACTCACCATGGCGTGTCTCCACAACCCGAGTGACTCACCATGGTGTGTCTCCACAACCGAGTGACTCACCATGGCGTGTCTCCACAACCGAATGACTCATCAAGACGTGTCTCCACAACCGAGTGACCCACCACGACGCGTCTCCACAACCGAGTGACTCACCAAGACGCGTCTCCACAACCGACTGACTCACCAAGACGCGTCTCCACAACCGACTGACTCACCAAGAGAAGTCACTACTACCACCAATAGGCGAGTCACACGAACAATAGCAAGTGATATACTGTATACGTATGATTATGGCAGCAAGTGTACAAGGACCAGCCTCGTCCACTGGTGTGAGGCCAACCTAATCCACCAGACTCCACCTCCACATGGCCCACCTACCTACCCCCTCTATGTCTACCAATAGCCCATGCGACCTCAGCAAAGAGCGAGTGTGATGGGCAAGTGTTGACAGCGTGAAGCGCGCACAGCTCGCTATCAGCAGCTGGAGGCCGTCCTAGAACACTAAAGAAAACATCCGGCCTAATTCCGGACAGCGACGTCCAGCCCTGAAAAAAGCTGACCTCAGATAACAATCAAATGCTTTAGTTAACTCTCTTACATACATACATACATACATACATACATACATATACACACACACACACACACACACATATATATATATATATATATATATATATATATATATATATATATATATATATATATATATATATATATATATATATATATATATATATATATATATATATATATATAAGGCTTCACTAAACGGGCACCACACACACACACGTCCAGGTAGATGGAGGGTGAAGTTAACTCACTTTCTCGTCTTTAATGGGTCGTCGACCGCCCATCCTGCGGGGTGGCTGCTGGACCTGGGAGGGCATGTTGAGGCTCACCCCGGATGACGTGCTGGTGTGGACCAGTGGTGCACGCACCTGAACTCCGCCACCAGACGACGACGTCGACGATGACGACGACGACGAAGACGTGTGGGGAATCTGTGTGAGGGTTCCGCCCCCCCAACACTTGCTGTCCACTGAGATAAACGTGTTGCCTGCAACAATACAAATACACCACCTGTCATGATATACTGTAGATATCCACCTTATTCACACAAGCTTCTTCACCCATAGAAAATAAGGAGACAAATTAACAACAATTTGTAAAAGTTCCCTTTTAGAGCAAACAAGACTCACTCAAAGATATACACATGAAGGCGTCAATAGTGTGTTCAACTACATATCTTTCGGACTCGTTATATGTTCAAGAGAAACATGCGTGCTGGTGAACACCGTACAAGAGTGTGGCGTCCACTGTGTGTATCGGTGTATTATATCAGTGTTTAGTCTGGGAAAGATAGAGTCCTGTACCGCTCTACAGCGAGGGATACACTGTGTTAGCGTGGTTATAAAGGGTATGGATCATGTGTACACAGTGATTGGGAATGTAGAGCATGATGTGTACAGAAAGTGTGCGTGTGTAGTGATATGTGCACACGGTTTAAGGGAGTTAATCTAAGAACAAGATGTATGATGTGTACGCGTGTAGTGAAGTGTGGGGGGCGGTGTAGTGAAGTGTGGGGGACGGTGTAATGAAGTGTAGGGGACGGTGAAGTGTGTGGGGGCGGTGTTGGGAAGTGTGTGGGGGCGGTGAAGTGTGTGGGGGGCGGTGAAGTGTGTGGGGGCGGTGAAGTGTGTGGGGGCGGTGGAGTGTGTGGGGGCGGTGAGTGTGTGAAGTGTGTGGGGGCGGTGAAGTGTGTGGGGGCGGTGAAGTGTGTGGGGGCGGTGAAGTGTGGGGGGCGGTGAAGTGTGGGGGGGAAGTGTGAGGGGCTATGTGTGAAGTGTGGGGGCGATGTAGGGAAGTGTGGGGGGCGGTGTAGGGAAGTGTGGGGGCGGTGTAGGGGAAGTGTGGGGAGGTGTAGGGAGTGTGAGGGGGTGTGGGGGAGGTGTGGGGAAGTGTGGGGGAGGTGTAGGGAAGTGTGGGGAGATGTAGTGATGTGGGGGCGATGTAGGGAAGTGGGGGCGGTGTGTGTGGGGGGGAGGTGTAGGGGAAGTGTGGGGGGAGGTGTGGTGTGGGGGAGGTGTGGGAAGTGTGGGGGAGGTGTGGGGAGGTGTGAGGGGGCGGTGAAGTGTGGGGGGCGGTGGGGGTGTGGGGGAGGCGGTGAGGTGTGGGGGGCCGGTGAAGTGCAGGGGTGAAGTGCGGGGGGGGGCCGGTGAAGTGTGGGGGGGGTGAAGTGTGAGGGGCGGTGAAGTGTTGGAGTGCGGGGGGGGCAGTGGAGTGCGGGGGCAGCGTGGAGTGGGGGGGGGGGCAGCATGTAGGTGTAGACGTACTGTACCTGTGGGGGGTTGTACTAGGGCCGGGTACAGTAGGTGTAGACGTACCTGCGGTGGGTTGAACGAGGGGAGGTACAAAGCCCGCCTGGTTGGTGTGGGTCTCCGGGGGTGGAACGCTCGACAATTCCAGAAAAGTTTGTTCGATGTTCCTGAGGGTTGTGGGCGTGAGAGTAGGTGTGGTGCGGGTGGGGACGCCGCTGTGTACGCCTTCTAGGGAGTTGAGCTGTGGGAGAAAACAGATAACAGTCAACAACATGGCTATAACATAGTAAATATTATCACCTTCACTTCCGGAAATATCTATTGCATGACTAACGCAAGACAAAGATAACACCTGTTTGGACCTTCATTATGTGGGCGTGTGACACACAGTGTGGGCGAGTGACACAGTGTGGGCGAGTGACACAGTGGGCGTGAGTGGCACAGTGTGGGCGAGTGACACTGTGGGCTTGAGTGACGCATAAAGTCACTCCTTCAACCCATAATTGGTTTCTCACTTTATCGCTTCTTTTAGTTTTATTGTATATTTTCTTTGTTTCACCAGCCGTAGTTACCAGCGGGACTATCATCAACACAAGCGGTAAGTAAATGACGTGACCAACGCTCACACCAACACCTTTATCAAGTACCAAAACCTAATCTCCTAATTACCTCGCCAACAATACACACTATCTACACCCGGGGAAGGGGGGTATTACTTCACTACCTGTCATACCTTAGTCAAATACCTGTTGCTTTACTAGAATAACATTAATAAAAGTGGAAAATTTTGTTCTACACAGTTATATTTTTATAAATTCTCAACAAGAGTACAGCACATCACACATTGACTAGATGTCGATAGAGATTTTGCAAGGGGTAACCAAGTTATATGTGTTTGCAAATCAATTATATTTCTACCCTGTTAATCATATGTTTCAAAATGCTCCGAATCCTTGGGTTAGTTTTCAGAGGACAGTGAGAGTCGCACTTATATGTTGTGGTGGTGATACAGTGTTGCAGGTTTCATTATATAATATACGATTTCATGAGAACTTAAGGTTTTGTTTATATGTAATTATGTCCTTTTTTTTTCTTTTTTGACAAATGTTTTTGAAACCCCCAAAGAGAAAGGGGGAGAAAGAGTCAAGAAAGTTATAAACAGATAAAGAGTAAAATTTTATACCGTACATAGAGTTAAGAGAGTTGTTTACAAGGTAGCTCAGAACAGTGTAATGACATGAAATGTTGGCACTGCCATGCGTCTCATGTAAACTTGTACTGTACAAATAATGCTCAGTAATATGAGAACACAGTTACCACTCTAACACTTAGGCAAGAGGTGTGTGTGTGTGTGTGTGTGTCCTACCCAGTCAGGTGGTGGGAGGTACAGAGGTGAGTGAGGATACAGGTGGTGGGAGGTACAGAGGTGAGTGAGGATACAGGTGGTGGGAGGTAAACAGGTGAGTGAAGGGTCAGAACTAGTGGCCTGGTACACGTATCTAGCACCATTATTATCAGCAGCTTATCACTGCATTATCTGGATGACTCCACCCACCCCGAAAACAATCTAACAAACATTGTTTAAATGCAAATTATCTTTACCTGGATGGGTATGTTAACAGCAGTATAATTAAGGATTTTATCTATATTATTTTTTTAAATTCTGCAATGAATTCGTGGCGGGTATGGCTGTATAATAGTGCACCATTAATACCAAGTCATAAAATACATTAATAAGGTGGTGATGTGTGATAGCACCGACTCATTCTTATCTTGGTGTTAACACCAAAGTTTCTAGAACTAATGATTCCACTCGTGACAACGTCACCGGCAGCCACTTTCCGCATGTTAAGGTTACCATTCTCTTCTCCTTAGCTCTTCCAGCAGAAATGTGTCGCAGATTTTCTCACACCTATGTAAAACACCTCGCCATTATTTCTTCACAGGAAGTATCCTACCTAAGCCATATACAGTAGGTACGGGTGCCGCAGCCGAGTGAGTACAATGTTAGCCTTCAGGGTCGCTGGTTCACGCCCAAGGCATTTCAGGTTCATCCAGCCTTAAATGTTTACCTAACTTTACAGTTGGGAAAATGAAAGCAGACAAGTGCAATGCTAGTCGCACTGCTTCACTGTGTAATGAGAAAAGGTGGTCTTCAGTGTGCTGTATCCACTCTGTCCCTAACCATTAGGCGTATATGGGAACCACTTTCAGGCCATATAAATTCTGTTTTGCTCACTGCAGACATTGGGAACTACCACCAGAATTATATATTTCACATGGAAATAGTTATAAATACTAATAATGTGGAATTGTATACAAACACCTCTCCCTTCTGTGGTAATATTTTTTTAAACAAATGTTATCCGCATATCATTATCCCAATAAACTTAGAACAGAAATTCTAACATGACTAGAGTGATACAGCAGCTAAAATACTGCAAGAGCAGTCCACAACAGTTTAAAGTAACCCAGAGTAAAGGAACAAGTACAGAAACACCTCACACCTAGTCCAGTAAGTCAACTGGGCCGTGCCCCTGGGACGCAATGGTATTTGTGCCCTTGTACACCTACCGGGACTGGGATGAATATAATTTACTTAACACTTAGATATGACCTGTAGAACGATTAAATATGGTATAAAACATCACCAGCGGCCAGAATAACAACTGGATGCCCAAAATGCAACTTAAATCTTGTCTTAGGAGTACATTTGGGGGCGCGCGTGCTGGCACCCGCGCCGTCATCGCAAGGTTTACTGAGTTATCCACCAAGTATAGTGCCTCATCCTAGGCCTTCTGTTGACTCTACCAGCAACCTTCTTTCACATACTGTACTGCACTCTGCCAGTACACCTACACTATCTCTCGGCCAGTACACCTACACTAGACATAATGTATGCGGCACACAGGTAGTGGTGGGCCAGGGTAGGAGTGGATAGGGACCACACAGGTAGTGGTGAGCCAGGATGGGAGGTGGATGGGTGGCACAGGTAGTGGTGGGCCAGGAGGGTGAGTGTGCCACTATTCTTGGCCGTCGTACCTCACAGCCCGGTCATGACATCACCAAGCAAATACCATTGTGACGTCATTAACAGGGATAAAAAAGGTCATGTGACGTCACTAATTCAAAAACAAAAGTTATTCGAATTGAACTGAATTGAAACAGTTTATTTAGCCAGAAAAACACAGATACAGAGTGGATAATAATAATATTAACATGGCTGAGCCAGTTGAGAACCTGAGCTCTCTTTTAGGCACCTGATATATACAATACATTTATCTCAAGGAAGTATTATGTAACATTTAGTATCATCTGGAATAGTACAATAGCATGGTGGTAAAAAGAACATCTCATAATGTTACCACAGTTATCATTACTACGAGGTAAAATCAAGTCCTGCTGACGTCAATACCTGGTAAAATCCAAATCAAGTGACAGTTACTTGTTATAATCCGCAAGTGATTGTCACTACTACCATAAAACAAGGTGGATGACGTCACTACTAGCAGAGTCCAGGTGCACAACGTCACTACTAGTAGAATCCTGGTGTATGATGTCACTACTAGTATAATACAGGTCACGTGACGTCGTTGTAAAGTAGAAACCAAGCATGTAACATCACTACCTCACACCTCTCTGACACGACCTACCTCACACCTCTCTAACACTGTACAACACGACCTACCTCACACCTCTCTAACACTGTACAACACGACCTACCTCACACCTGTCGAACACTGTACAACACGACCTACCTCACACCTCTCTAACACTGTACAACACGACCTACCTCACACCTCTCTAACACTGTACAACACGACCTACCTCACACCTCTCTAACACTGTACAACACGACCTACCTCACAACACTGTACAACACGACCTACCTCACACCTCTCGAACACTGTACAACACGACCTACTCACCTCTCTAACACTGTACAACACGACCTACCTCACACCTCTAACACTGTACAACACGACCTACCTCACACCTCTCTAACACTGTACAACACGACCTACCTCACACCTCTAACACTGTACAACACGACCTACCTCACACCTGTCGAACACTGTACATCACCTTGTACTTTACATTAGGTAGAGTAAAGAGTGCAGGGGTGAGGGAGGTAAGGCTTCCTTCCTGAACATGGCCAGTAAGAGGTACACCACCTTATCCTTCCTCCGCTAAACAATGCTATGCAACAAATTCGTTTCCGGTGAAGGAGAAGAGTGACATGAGAGAAGCACTTGTATACGATGTGTGTGTGTGTTACTTTAGACTCACTCATTTGCGTTGATGTTTCCCCCTTGCCTACACGAGTCTATCTTAACTTAATATTATTTAATAACCCGCCAGGGACTTTCCCCCACAGGAGGAAATAAAAATACCGGTAGTTTTTTTCCCTCAATGATGCAATAAGAAGTTCTGAGCAAACACCTCACAACTGGCGGGGACGATATACTCTACACCTGGTCGTATGACGAAAATGATTCTATTATTTTTGACTTTATGGTCAAACATATGATTAAGTCATTGTTGAGTCTCCAGCCATACACCACCCAGTATCAGCAATCCAAAAAGGCCGCCAATAGAATCTGGCATATTATAATCTGCAGCGGACAAAAACACACGTGTGTTTAGGGTGAATACTAGTGAGTGGTAGTAGATTTGGTGAACATGAGAGGGATGCCTTCCTCGACTCTTGCGGGAGACAATGTTTAGCGGTAATGGGGGAGGGGGTGGAACCAGCGTACAGTGATGTGTGGTGATAAAGTGTAGTGGTGTGTATGGACGTACGGGATACCGATAAGTAGTCTCTAGGGGGTCCAGGTGTTTGGACCAGACAAGAAGGATGTCGCTTGGAGCCTCAGATCAACATTTCCATAATCTACAATTATTGGGCTTGCATATTAGCGCCTGCAGGAATTTGTCTAAGGTATGGCTGAGCGAAACTAAAAGGGCCAAGCCATAAAAAAAATGATGGTGGTAGAAGCAGGGGAGTGTGGAGTGTGTGAAATGTAGTAGTTTCCTCTATTTTATTCTCTTACTGACACGATGCGATGGACCCGACACAAATGTGGTGGGAGAAAAGTGGTAATAAAACACACAGAGTATGTATGTATATTTTATATATATATATATATATATATATATATATATATATATATATATATATATATATATATATATATATATATATATATATATATATATATATATATATATATATATATATATATATATATATATATATATATATATATATATATATATATATATATACTTAGACAAGGAGGTAGCGTGGCCGGCACTGTACGAAACCGTCTTCCTTTCCTACCTTTAAAATTAAGTGCCTAATTACACCAAGGTGGACTGGGAGTGCCCCACTATAGTAAGACCAGCTACCCATAGAACAAGACGCGAGCGACAGGTGTATCCATAAGTCACCATGACACGCTACACATGGAAAGTTGGGAAACCGGCATAATTTATATATTTCTATATCCACGTGATCATAAAATAAGGAAAAAATCTATAACATTATCACTAACGAAACCTTACTTAAGCTGCCATATTCTACCTAACCTTAACTTACCTACTATAACATTATCGAACAAACCCATAACTTACCTAACCTACTTTAGGTAGCGTTTGGTTATGCCATGGTAGTAACCGATGATTTTGATGAGCACTGTTTGTGGTACGGGTAATGCTCATATCTCTCACTATGTCGGGTTGGAGTTCCTGCTTGGCCCAGACACACGTGGGAAGCGTGTTATCCACAGTGACCCTATACCAAACATAAAAAGTTTGCCTTGTCTCTGGTTGTTGGGTTTACACCAATATCTCGAGCATAGACCCAGTTGGGACACAAGTCCCAAATCTTTGAGAGTTGTTCCTCTGGTGTTATTGCATTACACCATTCCCAGGATGCGACCCACAACAGCCGTCTTACAACAGGTTCCTACTCACTGCTAGGTGAACAGAGGCAACGGGTGTAAAGAGACCTGCCTAATTTCTCACCCAGGTTTTATCCTGTACAGACCAACGCCACATCGGTGAATAAGCTGATGTAAAAAAAAAAAGGTCAACTGCGATCACGTTGACATATAATAAACATAAATGAATAGTTTTATACCTTACCTTACCTTACCTTACCTAACCTAACCTAACCTAACCTAACCTAACCTAACCTAACCGTCTCCATGTATATTTTTGTTATCTTGGTCAACGACAACTTAAATAAAATAGAGCGCAAAAGTTACAATACAAGGATTAATTTTCATTAAGTTGTATCAATAAAAAAAAAATGTCCCAATTAGGCAAAACCTTCTGTTACCTTTTAGTAGAAATTGTTTATTAACCCCTATGTGTATGGAGGCTCTCTGTAATGAATAAAATCGACTGGCGTTATCCATTTAAAATATTAAGTGGCGTCCCGTAGTGTAGGGGTTAAGCTTATTCAATGAATATCCCAATTTATCGTCACACACACACACACACATATATATATATACATATATATATATATATATATATAGTCCTTCATATAAATCAAGGAAACGTAGGACCCACAAGTCAAATATCATAACCTAATTTTTAACTTTACGTGGTTACACTAACTTATATTGTATAAAACGTTTGTAGCGAGCCATCATATTATGTACAGTTAATAGGAGTTGAAATACTGACACACCTAAAACAATTTTTGTTTTATATCACACAGCACCGAGTGGCACCACGGTTGTGCCGTGATTATACAGCTTCACTTACCGGAAATTTTGATGAACATCTTTATCCACACATTAGTAGACTATGGTCTGTAATAATCATTGTCACTATACCTGCTGGTGTTGCTGCTGCTGATAATTTTGAAGGTTGTGTATATTTTGCTGATAATGATAGGAATGTTGCTGGTGGAGGTAATGTTGTTGCTGGTAATGTCGCAGATCTTCAGATGAACTAAGGTAAGGTGTATGCCAAGAATTCATCTTAGGACATTATTGATGAATTAATAATCCGCGTATCATAATCAAGAACACGTTCGTCTTCTAATTACTTAAGACACGGCGAGTATTTCTTAAGTGTCCACAACAATGTTCACTGCACTATAACACTACCAAGTGTTGATGGTCAACAATATGTAGAAGTTAGGTGTAGTAGAGCTGCAAGCTACACGACTATCATGTGGTCGCCTCCTGACACACTGAGCTCCACTGCTACACTAACACTAACCTTCCCGCCACAACCAACACGCATGCGCTCACTTCCCGTTTTCTATGGTGCTATATTTTCTTAGAAGTGTTTCATAGAATTTCGGGCTTAAATCCTGTATGTTCCCAGAAGACTATTGAAGATGTCAAGAGACAGTGTCAAGAAGTGAGCGAGTCATTGTATGAGGTCATTCAGGTGATGACCACTACAGGTGATCACTAAAATAGGGCCTCATTTTTTGGCCAAATACGGTCAAGACTAAATCAAAATAGGTGGTGTTGTTGCCCACTACGTCATGCGTGTGGGTATATGGCACATGGTGTTCCACCCTTCATGGCAGCCACTACGTCATGCGTGTGGGTACATGACACATGGCGTTTCTCCCTACATGGCCGACAGAACTACCAACACCTAACACGTCCACGCATACCTGGTTCTGACCCTACCCACTCACTCACTCTCTCTCTCTCTCTCCTTGTTACCTCACTTATTCTACCCACTCATCTCTCACCTTATTCTACCCACTCTCCCCCTCATTACAACAGGGAGTTACGTAGGCACTGTTCTTTTACAAAGTTTGGGATCCAAGAGTATAGTCGATATCTTGATTTAATGGATAATCTTTATTGTTAAGTTTGCTGAACTTTTCTTTTATGTTACGTGATTTTTCTTCGTAGGTTATTTTTTTTTCGCGTCTTCATCAAATTTTGGTTGCTAACAATAAGTGAATAAATTGGAGCCAAACTTCAGTAATGAAGTTCAAATCATATAGGCCTACTCGAGCTGTGTTGTTTTTGCTTGACCATAATTATATCACTTGACATAATGGTCGAGGCTCTCATATGGTTATATCTCGTCTCGTTGTCTCGTGATGGCCGAGAACTGAATGATTCTAGAGAAGCCTAAACCAAACCTAACCTACCTCCCGGCGAAACAACGCTACCAACGCAATTTCTCGGTCATCGCGAAACAGTGACGAGATTTGTTGAGTTTGACAGCCGAGCAAGCGTCAAGCGTGACACCCGGACACCCACCTCTAGTGTGTATCCTGATGCTAGGGAAGACAGCCCAGGGACACCACACTACAAACCAATCCCTATCTACAATCAAGAAACATGATCCACTAATCGATTAACATACATGTCCCAAGTTAGCCTACAGCTGGATACAGTTAACACACGTCACGTACTCAACTCATATCATACTTAACACACAACACACACTTAACACCAGGCATGGGACAGTTAACTTTAAAATTTAACTAAAGTTAATTTTAATTTTTAATTTTTCCTATTAAGTTAATTAGTTTGTGATCAATTTGATTCGATGAATTTTCGTGTAGATTAAATTATATAATAACCTGTAAATGTGTTCACACGTCCAACGTACCAGGGTATCTCACCCAGACGACAACACAGGAAACACATGTAGGTGTGAAATACAACTATTGAAGTTTACATGTAGAGTTCTAGCAGTAGTACCTTGGCTATTTTGGATTTTCAGCTACCTTTAGGCATCTTAACTAAGGTGCTCTAATTACATTATATATTTTTTAAGAACTCAATCACAAGTGTTAAGGCATACACACACACCTTGTATAAATATACCGTCAACCTATGTTTTTTGTCAAATTGAAATTTACTTGTGTTAAACAGGCATGGGCCAATTAATCAACTCTTTAACTTTTAAAATACCTGTTAACTTATTTTCGAAATTTTATCATGATCAACTCCTTAACATAAGAACAACTATGTAATATAAAACACACCAAACCCTTGCGTCCATTCTGTCACTTTTGATGCTTCAAATTATTCAAACTATTCATTGACTATTTTTTGGAACACATTTACAGGTTATGGGATATTTTAATCTACACGAAAATTCATCGAATCAAATTGATCACAAACTAGTTAACTTAATAGGAAAAATTAAAAATTAAAATTAACTTTCGTTAAATTTTAAAGTTAACTGTCCCATGCCTGGTGTTAAGTGTGTGTTGTGTGTTAAGTATGATATGTGTTGAGTGCGTGACGTGTGTTAACTGTATGGCGCGTGTTAAATTTGTGACGTATGTTAAACGTGATGTGTGTTGAGTGTGTGACGTGTGTTGAGTGTGTGACGTGTATTAAGTGTGTGACGTGTGTTGAGTGTGTGACGTGTGTTAACTGTGTGACGTGTATTAAGTGTGTGACGTGTATTAAGTGTGTGTCGAGTGTGTGACAGCAGAGGTAGGGGGAACAGTAGAAGTACGGGGAGGAAGGGGGGCAGTAGAGGTAGGGAAGGAAGAAGGGGACAGCGGTAGGTAAACGCACCATGGTTGATACTTGTGTGAGTTACGTCATTTATAAGTTTAGCTCACAATGCCCACCACACTGGCTGCACATTTAAGGCACCTGGGATTCTGCCTGAGTTAAATATGGCGTTGTGTTCGTTTTTGTTGGTGGGTGGAGCGTAGCTGTGGCCGGGCAGGACAGTGTGTCTAATGTAGTATTAAGGCAACACATTATCTAACAGTTATCATCTATCTACTACAACCATGTGTACGCACTTTGATGTTAACAACTGAGACATTAAAGACTATAAATACAGGGACTAAGATTAATTTGAGTGCTGTGCTTGTTTTAAAGCCAAGTTGAAGGCCATCTGATTTGATCTACGCCAAGTTAAGGCATCTGTCTGTAAATTTGTCAACAAATTTATGAGACAAAAAATAGTGGCATTTGTTGGGAAGCTCAGAAAATATCTTGGACAAAAAATTAACATGGATTTTTTGTGCATTACTTTTTGGAGTATACAGTATAGTAAGACTGAGCGTCGCGCTTGTGTCACGATGAAATGCTGTTCCCAGTCCGATCATATACCCAAACGAAATTTAATTCCCCAAGTATATTAACGCTCCTACCAGTCCTTCTCTTACCTCCTCCTGTGTTCAGCTCCTAACTGCTGTTTTTCACAACTGTCATTGTTCTAGGCCTTTTAGGTAATTTAGTGTTACTGTAAATATTCTCTTTAAGTGTGGTCTGTCACCTTCCTTAACAAGAATTGTCAAACCGTTTATAGTTAATTTTCTATGTTGCATGACTATTTTTTTAAGAAGGGTAAATTATAAAACTTTTTAAGTGAACAAATCATAAGTCCTTTAAATAAATTATAGTTTATTGGAAAAATACAAAACAAAATAAATGTTTTCTTGTATTTTTAGAGATGGAAATTATACTGGTACCGAACTGGCTACTTGGAACAGAATTCAATAAAATTTTAATCTAGCTTGACTTTAAATTTACTAAAACCAATATTATAGCATTAAAACCATTAAAAAAAACAATATTTTTTTTTAATGGTTTATGCTAACCCTGCAAACTGGTGTACACTAGTTCATGGTGCACACAAACTGTTAGATGACTCACTATCACATGTTGAGAAATGGTACACTGTACATGTACATTATCGTGTTTGTAAACAATGTTATCTTTGTATAAAACTAATAACTGTAACTTAATGTTGGCCAAGAGTGTTATCTTGAACATCACATGACCAAAATAAATTAACTAAAGTGTTGTGCAAAGCTTGTAGGGACACAACCACCTGTCCTTGCATAAGTACAGTACAGTCAAAATCCAAAGTTCCTTTAACCCCTCCCCCCTCCTCCCACAGGATGATTGGAGGGAAGACGAAACCAAGGTTGAACACAGGCCAGACGATGGGACATCCACTCGTTCGGTAGTTTGGTGACGAGGCACGGTGGAGCCACACACACCCCTCAACACAGTCACTCAGGTATAACACACAAACACTGGTATAAAATATGATTTAAAACATTGACACGATATGGCATGTTGGTAGGCCTATAGTTATTTTATGAATAATATATATATAACGACAGCACAGAGCACAGTGTATGTCCGTTCGCCTGGCCTTTCTACAACCTTGGCTTCGCCTTCCCTCCGACCAAGGGGTAGGGGGTAAGGAGACTTTGGATTGTAACTACATGACAGTGGTATATCACGAAATATTTTATAGAAAAGTTCTATATTTTATTAATCTGTAATTTAAGTCACTTAGTTGTTAAAAAGTAATTTACGCAAGTTGTTCATATAGTGAATACGTAGTACAACATAAGCACAATCCTTTGTTTAAGACGTAGTACGGTAGTGGCGCGCACGTGACCTTGTCCACGAGATAGTTGTATGTGCCACTTCCCCTCCACTTTGGTCATTAATAACACTACAACATATCTCACTGCTCACTTCCCCATTTACCTCTCACCTCGCGTTCACCATCAATGTCTCCCAGTTAGTCCTCACCGCCTTAAACACACCAGTCAGTACTTCCTGCATCCAGTTACTCCTCGCTGCTTCCAAAACAATAGGTCCATCGTCATCTGACACACCAACGCAACTTCTCCAATCCTTAACTCGTGTGGACCTTACCACACACACAAAGACTGTTAACATTCCAAGGTGAGAACAATATTGCGTGACACATACAAGTATTTTTTCTTCGTGTAAACTAAATATGTGCATTTATTCTCTACTACAGAAAAACGAAAAAGGTTTAACTCAAACACTATATATATATATATATATATATATATATATATATATATATATATATATATATATATATATATATATATATATATATATATATATATATATATAGTGTTTGTGACTGCCATGCATTATTTACTACCTAATAATACAACCTACTGTATAACCTTCACTATCATAAAGAACAATAATCCTCAGAACAAGCTACATCAACAGGTGCACACACAGGTCAAGTACTTTCTCCTCCCGACACACCTTGCCTTTATGTAACTGACTGGCCATGATACACTATGATGTGACGTGTACAGTACACCATGATACGACGTGTGCAGTACACCACGATACAACGTGTGCAGTACACCATGATACAACGTGTGCAGTACACCATGATACAACGTGTGCGGTACACCATGATACAACATGTGCAGTACACCATGATACAACGTGTGCAGTACACCATGATACAACGTGTGCGGTACACCATGATACAACATGTGCAGTACACCATGATACAAAATGAGAAGTACACCATGATACAACGTGTGCGGTACACCATGATACAACATGTGCAGTACACCATGATACAACATGAGAAGTACACAATGATCCAACATGTGCAGTACACCACGTGCGGTACACCATGATACAACATGTGCAGTACACCATGATACAACATGAGAAGTACACAATGATCCAACATGTGCAGTACACCATGATACAACATGAGCAGTACACCATGATATAACTTGTGCAGTACACCATGATACATGAGCAGTACATCATGATACAACTTGTGCAGTACACCAAGATACAACATGTGCGGTACACCATGATACAACGTGTGCGGTACACCATGATACAACGTGTGCGGTACACCATGATACAACGTGTGCGGTACACCATGATACAACGTGTGCGGTACACCATGATACAACGTGTGCGGTACACCATGATACAACGTGTGCGGTACACCATGATACAACATATTGCGGTACACCATGATACAACGTGTACGGTACACCATGATACAACATATTGCAGTACCATGATACAACATGAAGTACACAATGATCCAACATGTACGGTACACCATGATACAACAGGCAGTACATATGATATAACTTGTGCAGTACCGCCAATTACATGAGCAGTACATCATGATACAACATGCAGTACCAGATTACAACAGGCAGTACACCATGATACAACATGAGCAGTACACCATGATACAACATGAGCAGTACACCATGATACAACATGTGCAGTACACCATGATACAACATGAGCAGTACACCAAGATACAACATGAGCAGTACACCATGATACAACATGAGCAGTACACCATGATACAACATGAGCAGTACACCATGATACAACATGAGCAGTACACCATGATACAACATGAGCAGTACACACCATGATACATAGGCAGTACATCATGATACAACTTGTGCAGTACACCAAAGATACAACATACAGGCAGTACACCCAAGATACAACATGAGCAGTACCATGATACAACGCAGGCAGTACACCTGATACAACATAGGCAGTACACCATGATATAACTTGTGCA